TTGTTTCCTTTGAATACTTGAAATGAATGGTTCAAATATTCCTTTAATTTTGTTGTCTTTCAGAAAGAAAATATTTAGAACTTCTCTGCTCAAAAAGCACATTTTCCAAATTGAGGCATTTTTTAAAGTCTGATTTCATTACACAGTTGCGTCTTGTAGCCTTGAGGATATTTGTAAACAGTTCCAGCTTTCTCATTTTGTTTTGGCACAATCTAAATTCCAATTTCATGAAAATTAGTGCTGTACTCTCTGTTTCTAGAAGACTGCTTTAAACAACTCTGTCATAGAATGGGAGATGGATTTACCTTAATATCCTTGTATTGGTTTAATTTTAAAAACTTTTCATCAGTATTTCCTTTCTGGGTCAATATATCTGTGATGGCTAATCTTGGTTGTCAACTTGACTACATCTGCAATTAACTAAAATATAAGCATCTGGCATACCTGTGAGGAATTTTTCTAGATTGGACTATTTGAGGTGGGAAGACACATCCTAAATCCAGATGATTCAAAGTGGAAAGATGCACCCTAAATTCAGATCATCTGAGGTCAGAAGATCTGGGCCACACCTGGTGGCAGTCAACATAAAAGGACATGGAAGAAGTAAGATTTTTCTTTTTGCCTGTTGGGCCTCACTCTTGTTGGCAAGTTCATCTATCTTGATGCTGAAGATAGATGAGGATGCTGAGGATTACTTACTGGTATTAGAATCTATTTCTTTTGGATTCCAATATAGACTGAAAACTAGCTGAGACATCCAGACTTACAGACTGAACAACTACTAGATTCCTAGCCTCCTAGTCAGGAGATAGCCATTGCTGGACTAACCAGACCACTGCTGTGGATGATTGGTTGATAAATAAAACACTGATTGGCCAGTAGCCAGGCAGGAAGTATAGGCGGGACTAGCAGAAAGGAAAATTGAGAGAACAGGAAGGCAGAGAGGAGAAGATGCCAGCCTGCCATCCAGGGAGCATCATGTAGAGGCAACAGGTAAAGCCATGGAACACGTGGCAATATATAGATTAACAGAAATGAGCTGAGTATAAGAGTAAGACTAGACAATGGTAGGCCTAAGCTAACGGCCGACCAGTTTAAATAATATAAGTGTCTATATTTTATAAGTGGGCTACAGGACTGCCAGGGCTTGGCGGAACCCGGAGAGAAAAACTCTAGCTACAGACTGTAGCTTATAACCCACTCTCATAGAGTTCTTTTTTTTTTTTTTTTTTTTTTTTTTTTTGGTTTTTCGAGACAGGGTTTCTCTGTGTAGCTTTGCGCCTTTTCCTGGAACTCACTTGGTAGCCCAGGCTGGCCTCAAACTCACAGAGATCCGCCTGGCTCTGCCTCCCGAGTGCTGGGATTAAAGGCGTGCGCCACCACCGCCCGGCTTCATAGAGTTCTTTTTAGTACAAAGATTCATTCTATGAGTTTTGTTCCTCTAGAACACTGACTAATACAATATAATTCCAAGTTTGATTAACGTCCAACATGTTAACATGCCTAAACAAGCCTGAGGAATGGAAAACTTTAAGCTCATGATGAAGCCCACTTTCAAAGTGGCTCAAGGTACCTGATGGGGCATTGTCACTGACCTGATTTTCCTAAGACTTTGAAAATTTAATCTCATTTCCAAATCAAGATTATGAGAGTTCTAAAGTTATAGACTTGTTCAGGGTTCAGGAATTACATTTACTAGCTGGGGTGGGGGGTGATTGCTAACAAAAGATACATGTTTCTCCATGCAAAACCATGACTATTATTCATAATATTTCAGTATATATCCTTTTCACTCTTAATCATACAGGGAAATATATAAAATCTCAGTAATAAATCTTAAAAATTCTATTGAGTATGTATCTCAGTAAAAATAGCTATGTGTCTCAAAAGAGCAAAAAATACTGATAGATGTGCAATTGCATTATAAATAACATGCAAAGAATTCAGCTGTCAAGCAATAAACTTCATAAAATGTCCATTATTGTGAGTACAATCAATGTAACACACTCAGGCAACAGCAGAAAAATGTGACTTGCCATTCAGGGGTCCAGTACATCCATCTACCTTCTGTCTGTCTGTCTATCTAGTTAGCTAGCATCTATTTACATCTATCTACCTATTATCTATCTACCTGCCTGTTTCCATCCACCCATCCATCTATCCAACTCTCCCTACATTCCTATTACCTACCCACTTGCCTGTCATTTACCTACCTATCTGCCTATTGGTTATCTATCTTTCATTTATCTATGTCTATATAACATTCATCTGTCTTTCTATTTATCATCTATGTTTCTATCAATCCGTCTGTCATCTATCTCTATTGTTACAGTCACAAAACAACAGACAAGCAAGGCTAGAATAAGTAGTAGTCAGGCTTAATGGACTCCTGGGACAATGAAACTGCAGTTTTGTCAGTTCAAGTCATTGTCACACAATTTTAAAATCCTCACATCGTGGTGTCCAGAAAGGATATGCAAATATAAAGAAAGGAATAAGCGCTAGAGAGCTGTGTTACTAGTCAGTGGGCAGTGGCTAAGGTGACCAAGTTCCTATGGCAACAACATGCCATGAAAGAGAATAGGAGCCTAGAAGGTGGCTGCTGTCACTGCTGTCCCCCAGTGACCAGTTTTCGGTGTCCAGGCTGTCTGGGAGTTTAACGTCAGTGGCTGCTTCAAGCTGAGGACCATGGAGCCCTCATGACTTAGAGCCACACAGATGCCTCACATCTTGCAAGCCCCATCTTGAATTGCCTCTGAAATTGCTACCCCTACTTTCTTTTCTTCTGGCATGTTTTAATCTTTGTTCCAGATAGACAGATTGGGGAAGGGGGTACTCAAGTGAGTGGTTTCGGAACCTGGATCCCAGAACTTCTAGTTCAGTCAGGGCTGGAGCTTCCAAAGTTTGGGAAGTAGGCCATGCTGTGCCGTCCTTTTCAAGTCCTGGGAATAATGTTTCTAAAGCCTGGGGCTCTGGATCTATGGACCTCCTGCCCTTATAACTTTCCAACTTGGTGGATCCCCAACTGTTCTTGACTAGTGAGTGGGTGATTCACTGGATTCTTCAGCCAATGTTTACCCTGGTTCTACCACAGACAGGCCCTGGTTCTGTGGAGGACACAATCGCAGAACCTGGTTTAGTCCCAGAAGGACTGGTTGCCTAGTGTGGGGGTCTGAAAGAAAATGGCCCCCAAAGGGAGTGGCACTATTAGGAGATGTGGCCTTGTTGGGGGAAGTGTGTCACTGTGGGGGTGGGCTTTGAGGTCTCTTTTGCTCAACCTTCCCTCTGTGTGACAGTCAGTTGGCTTCCTGTTGCCTGAAAGATGTAGCACTCTCAGCTCCAGCACCACATCTGCCTGTACACTTCCACACTCCTTGTCATGATGATAATGGACCAAACCTCTGAAACTGTAAGTGAGCCACCCCAATCAAATGGTTTCTTTATAAGAGTTGCCATGGTTATGGTGTCTCTTCACAGCAATAAGAACCTTAACTAGCCCCAGAGATGCTCAGTAAAACACTTCCACACACACAAAAGAGAATCTGAATGTGAAATACTGCTCTCATTTAAAAAAAAAAATGATCAAGGCAAGTGCAGTCTCTCATGTCTAGATTCCGGTGATGTACCACCATCCTTTCCCTGCCCTCTCTGCTACCTACAGACAATGGGCTTCCTGCAGTACTCCCCTGTGGTCAATGTTCTTTCCTCACCAAAATCACCCTCTAAGGGAAAGGGTTGGTGCAATCAGCATTTTACCCTCAGGGGGTAAGTAGCTTCCCAGCAAGTGAGCTGGAAATCTAAAGGCCTTCTTCTCTTCTCCAGCTCCTGCACTCTTGCCATTAAGGGTAACTGCTTTTAATTGTTCTAAAATTACAGGTCTTACCTTTCCCTTGTAAACACATCCTTGCATAATCACTGGCTTCCAGGAGTAATAATCAGAGAGTTTCTGGTGGTCTAACGCACTTGCCAAGTTAAATTCCTTCCATGCACCCATACACTTGTTTTCTCTTTTGGTAGGTCTTAGACTAATTACATAGCACCTCGGTGGGCTCACTTCCTTCTGATCTACATAGGTTTAGTTATTCAAAGGTGAAAACAATGTCTCTCTGACAAATTGCAGAGCTCATGTGATCTCTAGAACCATCCTTAAAGGGCAAATCAAGCATCCATACTTATTATTTTAGAGGGAATGTTTATATTTTATTTTTTGCTTTTATTTTTTATGTGTATGAGAGTTTTGCCTGTGTGCATATATGTGTACCACACATATGCTTGGTGCCCACAGAGGGCAGAAGAGGGTGTTGAATCCCCTGGGACTGGTGTTACAGACAGTTGTGAGTCATCATGTGGATGCTGGGAATGAAACCCAGGTCTTTTGGAAGAGAAGCCAGTGATCTTAGTGGCTGAGCCATCTCTCCAGTCCCAGAAGAAATGTTTATAATATCTGTAGGAAGCATACAGGAGGTGGCAAGATAATGAAAACATCATATCAAATGAAATCCCTGCTTAGTAAATAGTGTGGATGACAGAGAAACTCATCTTCTAAAGGAAAATTCTTCAGAATATGCCTTTTACTTATACGCTTTAACCAGTCTTTGTTTATTTCTTTATTTTATTATTTATTCATTTGGTTTTATTGTTGTTGTTGTTGCTTTTTTGAGACAGGGCTTCCCTGTGTAGTCCTGGCTGTCTTAGAACTTGCTCTATAGACCAGGTTGGCCTCAAACTCACAGAGACTGACCTGCTTCTGTGTCCTATAATGGAATTAAAGACATGTGCCACCACTTCTGGCTGTTTGTTTATTTTGAGATATGGTTTTGAGTAGTCCTCAATTTCACTATATAGCTGAATGTGACTTTGAACTCCCGATTTCTCCTGCCTTAACCTACCAAGTGCTAAGATTACAGGCACACATGAGCACCACCCACCTCCTCTCACCACTCCATGTAGCTGGTTTTTGCACTTGAGCAAAGGGAGATAACACCATGCCCTAGACTCACCTGGCCTCCTGTGGGGACGAGAAGGATGATGCAGATGCAGACAATGGAGATACACTAGGTCCAGATGAGGGTCCAGAAGAGTGGAAAGAGTTGTTGCTGAAGTTGCTGTATCTAAAAAGCATAGAGGTTTAGATTGGAGACGAGAGAGAGAGAGAGAGAGGAAGAAGAAGTGAATAATAAATATAAATAAAATTCAGCAAACCATCTAGCTTTTTGCAAGAAAAATATTTCTCAAGATTCTACTGCAAATAGTGATTATTTAAAGCTACAGAGATTTACTAAGTACTACATTTTGATAAGTCTTCATTAAAGAGGTTCCTTAAACTTCAAAACCCACTGGGTGGGAGGACTCATAACAAAAAGATTCAGAAGAATCATCACATCTCCTATTATTTTATAAAATTAATAGTGATCATAAATCAAGAACCCAAACTGTGCTCATCTGAACTATGATGATCTTTCTTGCTACTTGTGATAGTGCAATTAAAATGCCATCAGAGACCTGCGGATACAACATCTGCCTGCTAAAGAAACATCTTATTGTTGCACATTCTGCCGCAGGTCGTTCTGAACCCATCACATTCCTTTCCTATAATCCCATGGTGTGTCCATCTCCAGGCCTCTGGACTAGCCTACTGTTTAGAGATGAAGGCATCTATGGTTTCATCCAACAATCTGACTGAAACCTGCAGTGGTTATAATTAAATGAACTTTGATCTTTTCCCAGGCACCTCTACTAAACAGATGTCAGGATTTGTAGAAGTCTGCAGCCTCCTGTTTGCAGGAACATTCCTCCCATGCAGCTGTCATCACTGAGGGTGGCTCCCAGGAACCAAGTCACCCATCTGAAGCCTCACATAGAGCTGGCATTCATGTAAAGAGGCTTCCATCCCTATACATCTTGTCACAGGTGAGGCCAACTCATTCCTTAAACTGTTTAGGGACACTGTATTAGGATGTGTGGAACCCCGGGGGTCACCATGATGAACACACACAAAGATCTTTGTGGACATGAGAAATGTGAGCTGGACTCCCATCAACAGAGACTGCTGCTTCTGAGAAGCGATAGACTTTAGGGATGTCCCACGAGATGCTGGCGCCAGAAAACCACTTTATCGTTCCTAATGTTTACATGAGAAAACAGCACATATGAAAATGCTCAATGGTGCATTATTTAGCTAGTGGAGGGAGCTCAACCAGGTATGAGAAAGGATAGCCAAGGAAGCATGGATTCTTCTTCATTGATGGTTCATTGATTCTGCAACCATAAAAGCTGACCAATTTTTATAACTGGCATCATGGGAAATGTTGATAAATGGGCTGGATGGAAACAGTAAGACATAATATAGTTATCACATTGTGTAAAAATATTCTATAAAGAAAAAAATCAATTAAAAAGTATGTTCATGAGATATCTACTTTTAAAAAGTGGGAGATGGGTACAAAGTTTCAAGTTTTAATAATAAATTACTACAATAGAAAATATTCATATACCACCACTCTAACTCTGTGCTTCTAACTCTGGCAGCTTGGCCACTGCTTCATCACTCTGTGTGTTATCACATGTCAGACGTGGACTCAGAAATGGGCCCTCCCCATCAAGACTCAGGCCACAGGGCTGGCCAGTGTCCTTTTGTGTTATTGTGTCATTTTCATGGTTCTTGGCTTCTGGGGACTTGCTCCCCCTTTCCCTCCTCCCCTTCTTCTTCTTCCTCCCCCAAGCCCTCTCAGGTCACACTGAGATTGAACCTGGGGCTTTACAAATGTTAGGTGAATAACAACACTAAGCTGTCTCCTTAGACCTCTTTTCATTTCTTATTTTGAGACAAGGTCTTCCTAAGTTTCCCAGGCTGGCCTTGAACTCATGTAGAGCCCAAACTGGCCTTGAACCTATGATTCTCTGGAGTAGCTGGGATTGCAGGATTTTCTCTTGTCTTTAAAAATTTGCATTTTACATGTCTAGTAGATTAATTGCTTCTCCAGGTTAGCGCTGGTTTAATTTTTCAGAAGGATTCACAAACCATAGTCCATGGAGAAGGCAGAACAGCAAAGAATAAAGTCGAGGACAGGGCATTAATTGATGCCACAGAAAGGAGAGGCAGAAACAGAATGACTAGAGCCAAGCAGAGCCAGATGCTGCCACCACACAGGCTCCCAGCTTGGCTGTCCACCAGCTGCCTGGACACTGGCTTGTTACCCTTGCCACTGGAACTCACCCTCCAACTGCATGTGGACGTCCTGCTGAATGTTTTCACAGGATCAGGTTGCTGAAATTATGTTTAAATGACGTGATGGAAATAAACCATGTACAATGTGTTTTCCCCTCCTTTGGTTTTCCTAATGGCCAAGTAATTAATTCAAATGCCTCAGAGCCTGCCCAATTTTGCTTCTCAATTTCAGCCAAACTTACTGGATCATAATTCACTATTCAGCATTTTTGTGTGTGAGGAAGGAGGGTTCATTATAATGACTAATGGGTTGGTCTCTATTACAACCTATTCAATTGCACTCAGCTACTGAATAGCCAGATCTGTGGCCATACAGACCCACAACAAACACAGCAACTGGACATCAGAAAGTCAATCCCCACCAACAATATTGAGAGTCTTATTGGACGAATGACCAGCTTCACTTAGTTAAACTAAGGCAATCTTCACTTACAAGCATGTGCCTGTGTTTCACAATACACAAACACAGTAAGATGGGTAATTTACAGGTTCCTGTTATTCTCATTCCCAAGGACTATATTTACTAATGAAGAACCAAGGACCCAGAAAAGAACCTTTAGGTACTAACATCATTCCCAGGAAGTACAGAATCACCATAGCAGGCTGATCCCTTGCTGGGAAAGCTGAGGTTGCCAGTAACATCTTCCAGGCCAAGCCAGCTAGCTCTTAACTTGCATATAGATACTCTCTGGAAGGGCAGAAGGCTGGACTCACTGGGTAAAAACTGTGTGCATGACCACAACAATGTCAGGATTTGGGACTTGGGAGGGACCTATAGGGAACCCAGAGTTCTGAGCAAGAAGAACTAGGTCTCAAATATGTTCTAAGTATGGCTTCTCCTTTAGCTGGCTCCACCTGAGCTGATCTAATGGCCTCCTTCTCCAGCCAGCTTCTCCTCCCACCATGGCTTCCCACTTTTAGAAAGGAGAAGAAACTCCCTCCAGCAGGCTAAATCCATGTATGTCTAGCTGTGATGGTTTGAAAGAAAATGGCCCCCAAAGGGAGTGGTACTATTAGGAGGTGTGGCCTTGGTGGAGGAAGCATGTCACTGTGGGGGTGACCTTTGAGATCTCCTATGCTCAAGCTATGCCTGATATCACAGTTCACTTCCTGTTGCCTGTGGATCAAGATGCAGAACTCTCAGCTCCTCTAGCACCATGTCTGTCTGCACGCGCCATGTCCCACCATGATGATAATGAACTACACCTCTGAACTGTAAGCCAGCCTAATTAAATGTTCTCCTTTATAAGAGTTGCCATGGTCATGGTGTCTCATCACAGCAATAGAAACCCTAAGATGCTGGTAAACCTTAAAGGTGCCAGTGAAAGGGACATTTCAAGATTCTTTTAGATTGTATGTAACCCAAAGGGGTTGCCTGTCACAGATTAATCCTTCAGTTATCAGATGGAAGGTCTGATTACCCTGGAAGACTGGTCACTTCATGGTGGGAAGAGCTACTTCTTGGTTAAATTGTATAAGGCTTTATTTGGAACAAATTCTTGCTTGTCACTGAGGCTTGGAGGTCCCCACATTACAGGCTCTGGTGAACACTAGACCCTTGTTGACAACGCTCTGTCCGAAGACTCCTGACAGAGGTGTTGTAAGCCCAGAAGCTTGTAACATGGAACCACAGGGGGACAACTCATAGAGGAGAACCTGACTCTGGGGCAGGCTTTCCGGTACTGAAATCACCTCTCCATGCACTAACAGGTTGACTCAGGCCAAGTTACTCAGTCTCTCAGGCTCAGGTTCCTTACCATAAGTAGGAGCTAGTGATAGAAACCTGTTTCTTAAGGACTAAGTGATACTTGGAAGTTCCAGCTTCATGGGAAATAGAGAGCCTGGCCCATGGTGAGTGCTTTGCAAAGTTTGCTCCCTTATTATTATTCTAAGGGGGAGAGTATTATAACAACCAATGACTGTGGTTACGGATTGTGGAAATACAAGATTTTAGATACATTACATTAAATGAAGTATATTATTAGAGTGAATTTTACCTGTCTGGTTTACCACTTCAAAGGCAATTATTTGGAGCTGGTGGGATGGTTCAATGGGTAAAGGCCCATGCTGCCAAGCCTGATGACCTGAGTCTGATCCCCAGGACTGACAGGAAGGAGAAAACTGATGCCCACAAGTTGCTCTTTGACCTTTTCCACACATGCCCCACCCAATAAATAAATGTAATAAAAGAAATTTTAAAAATAGAGTACAGCCATTAGAAAAGTGAAAACATACAAACATCACCCACTCTTCACTCCAGCAGCACTCCTGACAGCAAGGGCAGATTAGTTACATGGCAGGCAACCAAAAGTTGAACGTTCCCTGTGGAGTCTGGCTTTGCCTATCTCCCTCCAATCGACCACTAAGACAATTTCTTATTACCATACTTGAAGGTTCATAATTAGATAATGTGAGCATCTTAAGACTCCAGGAGTTGGTTCAAACGACGGTTCTGTGACATTAGCAGCCTTAGGAAGCACAAAAGCATGAATCAGAAAACAGAGCAGGCAGGAAGTTACAGGAAAGATAAAGAAAGTGCAGACAGGGTGCCCACCTATTAGAAGAGAAAGACCGGAAGTTAGACTCTGCAGCAGCGGCTCAGTGGGAGGGGCTGAAGGAGAGGTGGGAGGAAAGGTCCGCACACCGCGCACCGCGCACCGCACACCGGCCAGGCCACAGGCAGAGGGTACAGCCCTCGCCTCACCTTGCAGGCCTGAAAATTCATGCTAGATGATGGGGTGGACACGCAGATCCTGCTAGACTGTAGTTCTAAAAGCCATTAGTAGTAGTAACGTTAAAACCAACGCTCTCCTTAGTTCACACAGGTGACCGCTGTCTTTTTCATCTCACTCTTCCCACAAAGTCAGTGGTCAGAGGGTTAGTTTAGCCACAGTGGCTCTACATCCGGGGGACTCCAGACGACACAGCAAAAGCCAAGCCTGGGACACAGGCAATCAGTTGTGTCCTCCTCCCTGGGTTAATCACACATAGGCCTCACTGCGGGGGCCCGTCTACCTGTTTTCTGTCTGAGAGTCTCCTCCCTTGTCCTTGGTGAGGAGGGGTGAATCTTCGAAGTCATAGGAGAAGAGGTGGAAGGGGCTGTGGGGCACGTAGGGCAGCTTGTCTATGGTCGGAGACGCCTTTGGGGCAGTGGAGGGCCGAGGAGCCAAGCCGGGGCTGGGAGCTGGCAAGAGAGCAGGCCGGCTGGTCTCAGACCCAGAGGTTCCACCGAGCCCAGGGGGCCGCGCTGCTGTGCTGGCTGGAGGCTGCCTTCCCTGCGAGGTAGTGGGGAGCGCAGAACTGTCCGGAGCAGCATCCTTCCCGGGGGAGCTGTGCCTGGAGGCAGAGCTGGCCTCGCTGTTGGCCCAGAAAGGCCAGGTGGAGAGAAGAAAGGGGAACAGAGGTTTGAGAGAGAGGGAGCAAAGGTTAGGAGAAAGAGAAGGATTCATGGAACCTCACTATGCGGTGACCACAGGCTTCCAGTCCTGTGTTTCTTGAGACACAGGAAGAGTCCACCAGCAGAAGTGTCCATGTGCCCAGTCACCCCTGGCAACCTGAGGGGATAGATATTCAGAGAGCAAGGGGGCATCTCCTAGACAATGTGCCTCTGGGCAGACAGGGGCTTTGGGAGGGGTTTACTGTGCCCTGCATGCTCTTCTGTGCCCACTGTCGGCACCTCCTGTTTCTCTTCAGGGTACACTGGCTGGCACCTGAAATTTCACAATTTAAACTTTATCTCTTTGTCTTCGTCACAGAAGATCGGTCCTCCTGCTGAAAAACATGTGCTTTAGGAGGGGCTTCCAGAGCTCTTTCCAGTGCAGACGTAGATGTGAGAAAAGGGAAAACAAGGACTGTACCAGACCGAAGAGAGGCTACGACATGAGGAAGACGGGATCTGCTGTTTCTCTTTCCAGGACCTAGCACTAAACTTTCAACAACTGGGCTCCTTCAGTCAGGCCCATAGCTACAGTGGCATGCTGCCGTCCCCAGACAGGACCATCACAGGGAATGGTATATATACTTAGTAACTTGATTGTGCCATGATGTAAGATACACAAAATTGTTATGTGGCTGCCTGAAATAGATGCAGTGTTTTTCAATGAAATAATTTTTAAAGTTAAAAAAAAATTCCATCTGGAGGACTGGAGTTAGACATTTGAATATGTTAACACATTTATAATATGAGAACCTATGTAAAATTGCATGTTTCAAAACTATAGTCCCGTCTCCCAGACAGTGTGATTGACAGCCATGCAGGTTTGGGAGTAGAAGGTAAACTGCTTCCTTTCTTGGGTCAAATGCAGAGTCCTCCACCTGTTTGCTCAGGGAACAGGGGTGGCACTGAAGGACATCCTTCCCAACGAGATCCCCCCACCTCTTCTGCAGATACTGAACCTTTGCGTTCAAAGTTCCTGGAACAGAACATGCACTGTTGAACACATCCAAAGTCATTCCAGTGTACTTACAAAGTTTGCATAATTCCCTGTGGCTCATGCTAAGGTGGGATTGTCAAACTTATCCCCTTCCCAGGTCCCCGATTGACCCATCCCTACCCACAAGTCTGGCCCGTCATGGGGTAGGGCTGTTTCCTGCTGATCCTCCTTCCTCTCTCATTCCAAAATGTGTGACTAGTTCTCCATCATTAGTTCATGGCTTTCCTCTGTGCCAGCTGGCTTCCCTGCAGGCCCTCCCGAAGGGGAAGGCAAAGGAAATCACCATTTTGTCAGTTTCCAGAAGATTCTATCATACTTAGGAACAGGAGGGTGACTTAGTATTCAGTGATGCTTTTATGTAGATGGAGAACAAGACAGGTGAAGGGTCTTGCTAAGTAACCCTGAACTTGGAAGTTGGCAAGAGAAACATTTCACTCTAACTTAATATGTCCCTGAGTAAAAACATTGATTTGTAGTGACAATTAAGTGAAGAGAATTATTCAAGTATGAAACCATTTTTGAAGAGTGGAAGATGAAGTTACTCGTGGGCATTCTTGCTTTATAAAAAGATGATTTGAAAGAAATATTTATAAAATTTAAGATATCTGTAAGGCATCTGGGAGGGGTTTACTGTGCCCCGCTGGCTCTCCTGTGCCCATGTTCTGAACCCTCCCTTTTCTCTTTGGGGTACACTGAGCAGGGACAGAATGGACTTTACTGAGGCAAATGGATGACAGCAAGCTCTCTGAAAGGCGATAAGCCTATGTTAGGTGTCCTGGGTATAAACACAAATACTGGGTACGTTTTCTGTGCTATATAGAATGAACATTATTCCCTGCTACTTGTATAAAACAGTATTTGAATAACTAACAAAGCAGTTACCACACATATTAATTGATATTGTAATAGCAAAATTAGGGAAGGGGACCATGCAGAAGTCTAACTGTGGTCCTTCCTGGAAAGACCTTAAACCTCGTAAGTGCAAATAAGTTTTTCTAATCACCATCAATGTGGTCGAGCAAATACCTTGGTGATGAAGTACAGGGTGTTTAGAAAACCAATGGTGTGCTTTTTTTCCCCCCTATAAATAGTGGCCATGGCCACACAGGCTGTATTTGAGTGCAGAGTGCAAGCTATTTCTACAATTCTGTGGCTTGTGCACAGGGATGTGAGGGGTTGCCCTTGTGAGCTGGCAAAGGACAGAAGATCATGAAGAAGCAGTGATAGCAAATGGTCTATGAGGAAGGAGTCTCTGGTTTTTCTTATGAGCCTAGGTGGGCCCAGCCCTCAGTACCTGTCCTTGCCCTGACACTGGGCATCGTCCTCTCTCTCCTCCTCTGAATTGGGCTCCGTGATTGGCTGTTCTTCTTCCTCCTCCTCCTCCTCATCCCTGAGACAAGACCAGGAAAAAAGAAACACACAGAAACAAGATGGAAAAGCAAGATGGGCATCACAAACAGGACACCAAAGCACAGAAAGCCAGCTGGGTGAAAGGAAAAGGCACATAGTCTAGTAGGATAGTCCAGGTGGTTCTAAGGGACCCTTAGTGTGGGGAGGAGATGACGAAACCCAGAAGAGAACTTCTTTGTCATCATGATTGAATGCCATTACCCTGAACCCTCCATAAATAATTCAGAGAAGCTTCCTACCTTGGAAGGACCCTCTATGCGGCTTACCCCATTTCAACTGAATCACCTGGTCAATGTTCTGTGATTCAAGCTCTGCTGCAGCCACAGAGCTTGCATCACTGAGGGACTGACTAATCCAGTGTTGACTAACTTCTATGGTGGCACACAGTTCTAGAAGGATACTCCTTCCATTTCAGTAAGTGTTTCTGGGAACCAGACTCATCCCCTACTTCAAGGACATGTTCAACATCATCTCTGGGATCTCTCTCAGTCTTTTCAGGAATTGACTCACTATGGGGATATTATGAGTCTGGAGCCATCTGTAACTTCTGAGTGACAAGGAGCATCCAATTGCTGGGCATGGTGGCACATGCCTGTTATTCCAGCACTCAAGAGGCAAGACAAGTTCAAGGCCAACCTGGTTCATATAGTGAGTTCCCAGCCAGCCAGAGCTATGTATTAAGATGCTGTCTCAAACAAAACAACCCCATCAAAATACACACAGAAGAGCAAAGGCAAGGAGAGAGGAAAGCAGTCCTCGGATGACTTTAACACCTGTATCCAACAACTCTCGCTGATGGAAGATGCTGCGGATCTAAAATGGGCTCCACCAGCCCCTTGTTTGAGTTCTTGTTCTCCAGTGGATAGTGCTGTCCGGGGGAGTCAGGCTTGCTTAGTAGGTAGATCAGGAGAGGTGGCGTTGGAAGGTGACTGTGGAGCCCAGGCCCTGGTTCCCACCATACTTTCTACGTCCTCATCTGCAGTGACGTGAAAAGCTCCCTTTTCTCTTTGAACTTTTTCACACAATTTGGAATTATGATTGTAATTATAATAAGTTCCTTTGACATTTATGTCTTGTAAACCCTCTTTCCTCTGTGTATTGTTTTTGAACTTACTTTGTGAGGTCTTTTTATGAACAAAATTCTTTATTTTTGGTGGTTAGTGCTTTTTATATTTTGTGTGATTTTTTTCTTTTTCTTATATCAAGCCTTTGTCTGTCAAACAATTTTCATTCATTTGTTAAGATGATCATATAATTTTCCCTTCTTTTCCTGAAAAAAATGCAGCAAACTGCAAAGACTGCTATTTTAAAACCATTAAGCCAACCTTGCACACCATAAACTTCACTCTGTTGCAACATGTTTGTGACTGATCAGACATGGCAGGAAGAAAGGTCAGAGAACTGACACAGTCACATTCACGGGGATGTGTCTCAGGGTCTGTGTTGGATGCCTCTATCACAAAGGCAGAGACCAATAGACAGCTGGGCAACAGCCGTCCTGCAGTGCCAAAGGCCCAGACTACCACAGCCCATCTGCCCTGCCAGACTACCACAGCCCATCTGCCCTGCCAAGCTCGCGCACAGCCTGTACTCACACTCCACGAGTCACCAGTGGTCCTTTTTCTCCTTGCTCTGCTCCCACTGCACCAGGCTCACTATCCACAATCACTAGCTAGAGGTCATCATCCCTCAGCCTGACCGAGAGTTTGCTGGAGTTGTGACTTCTGGTCTACCCTGAATTCCATCTGTCTTACCAATCCCTGGGCTTTGTAACAACCGAGCCTCCCCTCCAAAATAACCGGACACCCCCCACACACACTCACAGGTAGAGGCAGGGAGGTTCTGAAGCCAGGCTGCCTACCTTTGCTCTCTACCCTGACCACTTCTGAGCAATGCCAGCTGTGGGCCTCAGTGTCCGTGTTCCTGTATGTAGTGATAGTAACGGCCTCCTAAGAGACCAGTGCTGCCCACAGGAAACACATTGACAAGTTTTGAGGTACAGTAAAGAGGTGAGAACTACCTGTCATCATTGCCATCAGCATCACTGGCCATCAACACCATCCTCATCATCATCTCCTCTTCCTTCTCCTACTCCTCTCATCCCCTCTTCCTCCTGGCCCTCTGAGGAAAACTCTCACCTCCCTACTGATGAAGACTCAGAGCGGTTAGATTCCCAGAGGGAGGAGGCACACCACACCACAAAAGCATGCTTCTCTACTGCCAGCAGCGAGCTCCTGTCATTGTTGGCTCTGTCCTTTGACTCTTCTTTCCCTGACATTTGAAGATGACTACCCTGACATAAATTCCATGCTGCCTCCTTAAATCCCACAACCAACCATCACACAGCACATGAGTGATGTAGCCTTACAATCACAGTGGCAGGCAGGACAAAAGGCAGGCAGCACAGTGACACACCGGGAAGCCCACTTCTATGGGAGAAGCACTGGCCTTGTCCCATGATGTCACAGGGTAGAGAAGGAAACATGTCTCTCATGGCCTTGGACTACCTATGCTGATTTGATTTAGTTTTATTAAGCTTATGATAAAATAAGCAAACCAAATGATTTCCATGCTAATAATATTAAAGGCTGAAGAAGTGATCCAGATCACTTAGCTTTTTCCAAGCTGGCTTCTCTCCTAAAGCATGACCGTTTATGGTTGATCCTATTTTACTGAGGAATTCTGGATGTTTGGCCTCTAGCTTTCAAATGCTTCTTTTCTTGGGTTTTGCTTTAAAACAAGGTCACTCTCAGTCTGTATTCCAGGATGGTCTTGAACTCATGACAATCATCCACCCTCAGCTTCCCAGGTACTGGGATTATGACTGTGAGCCACCACACACTACTTGATTTTGCTTGATTTCAATTGGTGAGGAATTACTCACAGGCACAAGCTTGCTGTGAATTGATACGTAATTTCCTTTATACAAAAAATACCCCCAGATTTGGGTCCACTTCACCCCCACCCATGTTGGAAAAGCCAGAGGCCCACAGCCTGTTCAGTTCTGCAGGACATAGTTTCCACCATAGTCAATTTAACTTTCCCAAATTTGTATCTCAGGGTAATGGCATGTCTCTTAGATTCCAAAAGCACAAACAGAGAGGATAATGAATGTTGCCAAGCTGTTTCAAAAGCACAGTGCAAACTTTCAGAACAAAGGTGAACAAAAACACACCAACTCATTTAGGAAGATACATACCAGGTGTGCATGTATGAAAATGGCATAGTGAACCCTCTCATTCTGTATGTCAACTAAAAGAAAAGGTATGTTAACTATACACCTAAAGGTACAAAGTATAACTATGAAAGTGGGCAAAATTGTCACAGCTGGTAAACTCCTATAAAATTCTGCTTTAACCTCTAAGTTGGGGAGGTACATTAACACCATAGTGAGACACCATTTCATTTCTACCATGCAAAGTTGTCTGACATACTACATGCAGAAGGGAGCACTCTGTATTGCTGACGGGAAGGTGAGGGATTAAGCACTTTAACATTGTAATTAGAACTATCCTATAAACACATTTATGTCCTTCCCCAGAGTCTATACCACTGTACCCTCAGGGAGACATGCTGAATCAAGATGACTCCTCCAACCCAAAGCACACTTTGTCCCACCTGTGTGGATGGGGAGATACTGGCATCTAGTGGGCTGAAGTAAATGATAGTCCCCAACAAGGAACATTAGGTCCAAGATGGCCACAGTGCCCAAGTTCCCTTCCCTCAGGGTCCTCAAGTTTTTGGACACAAGAAAGAACCCAAGAATATTTTCAGGAGCACTGTGTTGAACTGTCCTAAACTGGAAGTGACCAAAATGTCCACCAAGAGAAAAAAGAATGAGTGTAGTATGACAAAGTCCATGTATGGAAAATAAACAAGGAACAGTTTCCCGCGATAACACAGAGCCCCTCAGAAGCGTGATGTGCACTGAGGGAAACAGGCCAGAAGAGTGGCACACAGCAGGACATATATGTTTATCAATTAAAAAAAGCAAAGTTGAGTAATACATTGCTTAGTTCCACGTTTGTCATAGTTTATCATAATTATGGAAAATAGAACAACCCAAGGACAATGACAAATGCATATTTAAGCCTGTCACCCCAGGCCTAAGGGTTCTAGGGCAATGGGCACGCAGATAGATGTCAGCATCAAGTGAGTCAAATATAACTGGCAGGCCGAATGCACCCCGCAGAGGTAGGTACATGGTCCACCACACCTGCAGATGATAATGCCGTGTCACAATGCCAAAACGTAGGGCACTCCTCTGTCAGTTTTACCAATGTTTTTATGTTAATAAATACTATATAAAATAAACCAGACTAAAACCACAGGCCAAAACCTATGACAACAAAACCTCATGAACCAAGGATGATGACAATTGGGACATATTGTATCACAATTAGATGAAAAACATTTCACTGAAATACTTTGCGGAGCTTAAGACAGAAAGTGCCCCCTCGGGCTTGGTTCTCATGGCTCTGCATCAGCGAATGCTTAAACTGCAGTTCCCCCTCAGTCAGTCTGTGACTCATGCTTTCTGTTAACATCAAGGTTGTTTCTAGGATACCCAGGGCCCAAGCCTGAAGATTTTCAATTAGTGTTCTTAATCAGTTACGACAAATATCTGACCAAGTGCAGCGGTGATGTCATTTAGAAATAAAGTTTTGCCATCTGCCAAATGAAATAAAAGTTCCCTCAAAAGAGCTGTACCAGCCAAGTGGATGAAAGACATCTGACAGAGTCCAGCTGCTGCTCTAACGTTTCCATGGTGACAACCCAAAGTTAGACAGGAAAGTATTTATTGTCCCTGCAACATGCACCACTCAGAAGGAGCATGGAGCACAGCTCAGGAACCCCAAACAGACCCAAGAAGCTGGCCGACTGACTGGCAGCTCGGGGCAAAAGCCTTTATTTTGCTATTTTGATTAGAGTCAAACACTAATGATTCCAGCACATTCCTGTGGGAAAAAATAGGGTCTT